ATGTACAGTGGACCCTTGGTTATCAGCCGTTCCTGTTATCAGCCAACTCAGTGATTGACTGGTTTTTCGGCTCCTGGTGATTGGCCGCTATTTCGGTGATCGGCCATTTCAGACGCGTCCGTCCACCGGTTGGGGCCGTTTGCGCATCAGTTTGGCTGCGTCTCTCGGTGCGTGAGGAAGCTTCTGTTCATACATCCAAACATTCTGTTTGTTTTCCATTATTTTTTGTGGGTTTTTTGCAGTGCAACTGCAAAATAAGTAACCAAGGCTCCAAAGAAAGTTCCTAGTAAAATTCCTGTGGTAAAGAAAGTGAGAAACACCATGGAATTTAAGCGTGAAGTGTAGCAGGCAAGCAGGGAGTGTAGCAGGCATGCAGGGAGTGTAGCAGGCATGCAGGGAGTGTATCAGGCATGCAGAGAGTGTAGCAGGCATGCAGGGAGTGTAGCAGGCATGCAGGGAGTGTAGCAGGCATGCAGGGAGTGTAGCAGGCATGCAGGGAGTGTAGCAGGCATGCAGGGAGTGTGCAGCTGCAGAGTGTGAAGCAAGTAGGGAGTGTAGCAGGCATGCAGGGAGTGTAGAAGGCATGCAGGAGTGTAGCAGGCATGCAGGGAGTGTAGCAGGCATGCAGGGAGGTAGCAGAATGCAGGATGACAGGCATGCAGGGAGTGTAGCAGGCATGCAGGAGTGTAAGCAGCAGGAGTTAGCAGACATGCAGGAATGTACGACATCAGGATGTAGCAGGCATGCAGGGAGTGTAGAAGGCATGCAGGGAGTGTAGCAGGCATGCAGGGAGTGTAGCAGGCATGCAGGGAGTGTAGCAGGCATGCAGGGAGTGTAGCAGGCATGCAGGAGTGTAGCAGGCATGCAGGGAGTGTAGCAGGCATGCAGGGAGTGTAGAAGGCATGCAGGGAGTGTAGCAGGCATCCAGGAAGTGTAGCAGGCATGCAGGGAGTGTAGAAGGCATGCAGGGAGTGTAGAAGGCATGCAGGGAGTGTAGCAGACATGCAGGAAGTGTAGCTGACATGCAGGGAGTGTAGCAGACATGCAGGGAGTGTAGCAGGCATGCAGGAAGTGTAGCAGGCATGCAGGGAGTGTAGAAGGCATGCAGGGAGTGTAGAAGGCATGCAGGGAGTGTAGCAGACATGCAGGAAGTGTAGCTGACATGCAGGGAGTGTAGCAGACATGCAGGGGGTGTAGCAGGCATGCAGGGAGTGTAGCAGCATGCTGGAAGTGTAGCAGGCATGCAGGGAGTGTAGCAGGCATGCTGGAAGTGTAGCAGGCATGCAGGAAGTGCAGCAGGCATGCAGGAAGTGTAGCAGGCATGCAGGAAGTGTAGCAGGCATGCAGGAAGTGTAGCAGGCATGCAGAAATTGTAGCATGCATGAAGTGTAGCAGGCATGCAGGGAGTGTAGCAGGCATGCAGGGAGTGTAGCAGGCATGCAGGGAGTGTAACAGTCATGCAGGGAGTGTAGCAGGCATGCAGGAAGTGTAGCAGGTATGCAGGAATGTAGGATGCGTGTAGCAGGCATGCAGGAAGTGTAGCAGGTATGCAGGAAGTGTAGCAGGCATTCCAGAAGCCAGCATTAATCTTCAATAAAGGTATGTAATACTGATTTAATTGTTAACAAAATTATATTTGTTGTGAATATTTTTGTCTGGAATGGATTAATTGTATATACATTAATTCTAATGGGAAATATTATTTTGGTTTTCGGCCATTTTGGTTCTAGGCCAAGCTTCTGGAACAGATTACAGCCGATAACCGAGGGTCCACTGTACTGTGTAACGTGTTTCTTATATAATTTTGAAGAAAATATCATAGAATGAATTAACGAAAATGTCTATATTAACCTAAAATAAGACAGTTAATGTTCCCAAGAGTGAGTCACGAACATATGAGTGGCCCAGGTGAACGTGTTTGGTACCAGTGATTTCCGAGCAGATGCACGAAATCCGGAGGGAAAGTTCACCGAAAATAGTGCTTGATTTCCGAATTGGCTGATTTCATTGCCCAGAATATCTTGATGCAAATTTTGGCAAATTCAGACACCAAAGCCAGTATGGCATTAGGGGAAGTGAACACAGTTTTGTTGTATTGTATGTACAGTGGTTAGTGAGACTTCAAATACAGTGGACCCCTGCCTTACGATGGCATCGCGTTACATTAAATCCGCCATACGATACATTTTAACGCAAAAATTTTGCCTCGCCTCACGATAAAAAACTCGCCTTATGTGATTCGTCCAGGACGCATCCCACGTGTAGCCTCAGCGGCAGTGTTTACAAGCCAGCCAGTGCGGTCGCATCTACGCATACATTCAGTACATTTCACATTATCCCAGTGTTTTTAGTGCTTGTAACTGCAAAATAAGTCACCATGGACCCCAAGAAAGCTTTTAGTGCCATCCCTGTGGTAAAAAGGGCAAGAATTAGTATGGAATTGAAAAAAGAGATTAAGGAAATGTGTGCAAAGTGGGTTGAACTGCAAACCTTTACGGATGACAATCACCCTGACACAGCTACTGCAAGCCGTGTTGGCAACCTGTACAATGACAATGTTAAGGCAAATTTTAGGAAAGTCTTAAAGGAATGGGAGGTACAGACCTCTATGGACAGATTTGTTGTGCGACAGAGGTCCAGTGACTCTCAAGCTGGTCCTAGTGGCATTAAAAGAAGAAGGGAAGTAACCCCAGAAAAGGACTTGCTACCTCAAGTCCTAATGGAAGGGGAGTCCCCTTCTAAACAATAACTTCCACACTCTCCCCTCCTCCCATCCCATCAATCATCACCAGATCTTCAATAAAGGTAAGTGTCATGTATTCTATTCTTAGTAGAGTATTAACTGTGCATGTCTTCTTCCGTTTGTGTGTATTAAAATTAATATTTCATGTGGTAAAAAAAAATATTTTTTCATGCTTTGGGGTGTCAGGAACGGATTAATTCGATTTCCAATATTTCTTATGGGGAAAATTAATTTGCCTTACAATAATTTCGGCATACAATGAGCTCTCAGGAACGGATTAATATTGTCCACTGTACCTTCTATTACACAGCAATACAGAAGTGGAATGGGCTGCCTGATCATGTCAAGGCCAGTCTTGGTATACAGCAATTTAGAAAGTGAGCTAGAAAGAATCTAATGAATGAAGTTACAGAAAAGAAGGAAAGTGATTTCTTATATAACTAATAAGATAAGATTCATTTGGATTTTTGACTTGGAAGGTTAGCCACCCAGAATAACCAAAGAAGGTCAGTGCATCATCAAGGATTGTCTGTCTTATTTTAAGGTGGCTCATGGCCTGGTATACCTGGAGTATACCTGGAGGGGGTTTCAGGGGTCAACATCCCTGTGGCACGGTCTGTGACCAGGCCTCATCATTACACTGACTAGGCACTGCTCTCACTTCACATGCTGAGGGTCTGTGGTTTGACTCCCAGCAAAGGTGGAAACACTGGGTGTATTTCTTTACACCTATTGTTCCTGTTCATCCCATCAGTAAAATAGGTACCTGGGTGTTAGTTGATTGGTGTGGGTCGCATCCTGGGAAAAAATTTACCTAATTTGCATGAAATGCTCTGCCTAACAAGGAGCTTTCAACATAGTAGTATGTCACTGATGTCAGCTAGGCCTGTATACTTTGTACATGCAACTGTAGAAAATAAAGATATTATTATTTTATTATTATCGGGATCCTTTAATCTTCTCCCCCCAGTATACGGCCCACATGCATCAACTAACATCCAGTTGTCTACTTACTGCTGGGTGAACAGGGACAGTCGGTGTAAGGAAACATGGCCAACATTTTCACCTATGCAGGGGATTAAGCCACTGACACTCAGTTTGTGATTTCTTTTTAATGCTCATCTAATTCATTTTCATGTGTATACGTATCTGATTTACTCACTTTATATTATTCCCACTGTAATTCATAATCATGCATTTGATTTACTCTATTTTATTTTCACTGTTGTGAGTGCTCACAGCTTCACTGGCAGTGTCCTCAGCCCATACACTGAGGGACATGTGATCAACCTCCAGCACAGGTGAAACATTTGAAACGTTTCCTTCCAGTAGGTATGCACCTGGATGTTAGTCGACCGTTATGGGTCGCATCCTGGGGGACAAGATTGACGACCTCAATGGAAATAAGACAGTCCCCAATAATGCACTAACTTTATTGAGTAATCCTGGGTGGCTAATACTCTTATACTTTATCTAATAAGTTGCTAAAAGTAAAAGTAAATAAAAGTAAGGTATATACTGTACATATTACAAAAATTCCAGTGGTAATAAGTCACCTTGACTTTGTTTGGATTATCCTAGGTAATTTACAAATATCTTACTATGTAAGACAAGTGTAATTATTTAAAAACTGTTTAAGATCGTACAGCACCTAAATAAACTTGTTTACTGACACAATAAAGATAAAACCTGTTAATTAAAAAAGATAAACCTATTCATTTTTATAGTAATCTCAATATAGTATGCCATGGATTATTATTATTATTATTACATTATAGAGAAGCCAGAAATTATTATTACTTATTATTAATTTATTTATATATTTTTTTATTATTATCTAATTTTTAATATTGAGTTATTACTAATTTTATTATTATATTATTGTTTTATTATATTTTATTCTTATTATTATTATTATTATTATTATTATTATAACAGTATTATTAAGATGGATCTGGAGTGACTCCAGTTATCAGGATCAAGAGCCCTGAAGGAACAAGTAAAAACTCATTGAAGAATATGACAGATGTGTTACATATGAACACTAAAGTAAGAAAATTTATTCAGGCACAGGTACACATAGGTACAATTATCATACATGGTGTAAATTACCCAGGATAGACCCACTCAAAAAAAAAAAGTCAAGACCTAAAAAACACGTGTCTTATACTTCAATTTATAAGTATTGCATACCACCAATAATGCGGGATATTCATGAACGTAAAACTAGTAACAACACTAAGTCCTCCACACATACTTTAATTTAAGTATCAGACGCTCGAGTTGCTCTCCTGCACCACAGGAGAGAATATTGTTACCTATATAATACAATCTTTTGTTGTTGGTGGTAGTGGTGGTGTTGGTGGTGGTTTTGAAGGTCACTAAAGTTTCTGGTTCATGGAATTAAGTAAGTAAGTTTATTCAGGTATACACAAATACAGTTACTAAATTGACTGGCGATTGTGTAGAAGAACTCTGGATAATACGAGTAGGAGCTAAAATTTTCCAGTCAAATAATGTGAACCTCCAAGTTGAAACACCGGCACAACCAGAGTGCTACACTGAGTCAACAACAGGCTTTTCCAAGGCTTTAGAATTCCACAATTCATAATAAAATTGCTTGCCGCCCCAGACCAACTGGCCAGCTGGCTGTGTATGATGATGACAAGCGTTACTGGAAGAGAATAGAGAAATTTGTCAGTAGTCACTGATGTCCATGAACAAGCTAAGCGACACGTCTACACTATAAGACTAGAGCTGAAATCTTTTTCGTTTTTTTATGAGGTTTATAGAGCCACTGACAGCTTTTGCCGTATCGAGTCCTACTTCTTGTGTCCAAGTTTGTTAGTTGTGCAGACTTGGCGGAAAGTTTACTGTGCACTCCATGCTCATCCTGTCAGCTCTAGTGCAATTACCCCTCAAGGAAGGTTCCTTGATGTTGGTGAGGGGCTCTTGATTTAGGGAATTGGATCTGTGCTCCAGTTCCCCGAATTAAGCCTGAATGCCTTCCACATCCCCCCCCCAGGCGCTGTATAATCCTCCGGGTTTAGCGCTTCCCCCTTGATTATAATAATAATAATAATCTAGTGCAATTAAAAAGAGGATTACATAGGTCAATTAGTCATTATCAGACCCAACTGGGCGCAGCTGCATCACAAAAATAAATAGTAATTTCATATTTTACAGTTTCTCCATATAACTAATAATGAACACAATGTAATATGGAGATGCAATCTCGAGAGTATTTAAGTATTTTATTGCGACTGAAATATTTGTCATTATTGAGTTAGTCTCTTCAACAACAATTCACTGATCAAATAGATACAAAATGTGAATAGTGCAGTGTTTGTGTATATTTCGCCTGCTCTTGCGAATTCCTTGCATTGTTAATATCTCTAGTAAGGCTGATGCATGCAGGGGATGAGATGAAAAGCTGTAAGCTTCTCCCTGAAAGCTGGCTGCCTTGGATCAAAGTCGAGCGCAAGCTGGACTCCAAGGTATTGTCCAGTGTGGGTAGATTGGTAAAGCACTGCGTACCTTGTTCCAAGGTGCGTAGGTTCGAGTCTCCTTCAGCCAGAGATCAGTGTTTGTGTATATTTCGCCTGCTCTTGTGAATTCTATATATATATATATATATATATATATATATATATGTCTTGCCGAATATGTAAAACTGGTCAATTAGCCAGAACTCATTTAAAATTAAGTCCTTTCTAAAAATTTCTCTTATACGTTTAAAGATATGTTCTTTTTCATTAATGTTGATGTAAATTTTTTTTTATTTTGCTCCAAAAGAATCTTATAAAACTTACCTTATAAAACTTATAAAACTGGCCGATTCCCACCAAGGCAGGGTGGCCCGAAAAAGAAAAACTTTCACCAGGAGGCCTGGTCACAGACCGGGCCGCGGGGGCGTTGACCCCCGAAACTCTCTCCAGGTAAACTCCAGGTAAACTCCATCATTCACTCCACTGTCTTGCCAGAAGGGTGTTTTACACTACAGTTTTTAAACTGCAACATTAACACCCCTCCTTCAGAGTGCAGGCACTGTACTTCCCATCTCCAGGACTCAAGTCCGGCCTGCCGGTTTCCCTGAACCCCTTCATAAATGTTACTTTGCTTACACTCCAACAGCACCTCAAGTATTAAAAACCATTTGTCTCCATTCACTCCTATCAAACACGCTCATGCATGCCTGCTGGAAGTCCAAGCCCCTCGCACACAAAACCTCCTTTACCCCCTCCCTCAACCTTTCCTAGGTCGACCCCTACCCCGCCTTCCTTCCACTACAGACTGATACACTCTTGAAGTCACTCTGTTTCGCTCCATTCTCTCTACATGTCCGAACCACCTCAACAACCCTTCCTCAGCCCTCTGGACAACAGTTTTGGTAATCCCCGCACTCCTCCTAACTTCCAAACTACGAATTCTCTGCATTATATTCACACCACACATTGCCCTCAGACATGACATATCCACTGCCTCGAGCCTTCTCCTCGCTGCAACATTCATCACCCATGCTTCACACCCATATAAGAGCGTTGGTAAAACTATACTCTCGTACATTCCCCTCTTTGACTCCAAGGACAAAGTTCTTTGTCTCCACAGACTCCTAAGTGCACCACTCACCCTTTTCCCCTCATCAATTCTATGATTCACCTCATCTTCCATAGACCCATCTGCTGACACGTCCACTCCCAAATATTTGAATACATTCTCCTCCTCCATATTCTCTCCCTCCAATCTGATATCCAATCTTTCATCACCTAATCTTTTTGTTATCCTCATAACCTTACTCTTTCCTGTATTCACTTTTAATTTTCTTCTTTTTCACACCCTATCAAATTCATCCACCAATCTCTGCAACTTCTCTTCAGAATCTCCCAAGAGCACAGTGTCATCAGCAAAGAGCAACTGTGACAACTCCCACTTTATGTGTGATTCTTTATCTTTTAACTCCACTCCTCTTGCCAAGACCCTCGCATTTACTTCTCTTACAACCCCATCTATAAATATATTAAACAACCACGGTGACATCACACAACCTTGTCTAAGGCCTACTTTTACTGGGAAATAATTTCCCTCTTTCCTACATACTCTAACTTGAGCCTCACTATCCTCGTAAAAAGTCTTCACTGCTTTCAGTAACCTACCTCCTACACCATACACCTGCAACATCTGCCACATTGCCCCCCTATCCACCCTGTCATACGCCTTTTCCAAATCCATAAATGCCACAAAGACCTCTTTAGCCTTATCTAAATACTGTTCACTTATATGTTTCACTGTAAACACCTGGTCCACACACCCCCTACCTTTCCTAAAGCCTCCTTGTTCATCTGCTATCCTATTCTCCGTCTTACTCTTAATTCTCTCAATAATAACTCTACTATACACTTTACCAGGTATACTCAACAGACTTATCCCCCTATAATTTTTGCACTCTTTATCCCATCAATCCCGGCTGCCTTACCCCCTTTCATTTTACCTACTGCCTCACGAACTTCCCCCACACTCACAACTGGCTCTTCCTCACTCCTACAAGATGTTATTCCTCCTTGCCCTATACACGAAATCACAGCTTCCCTATCTTCATCAACATTTAACAATTCCTCAAAATATTTCCTCCATCTTCCTAATACCTCTAACTCTCCATTTAATAACTCTCCTCTCCTATTTTTAACTGACAAATCCATTTGTTCTCTAGGCTTTCTTAACTTGTTAATCTCACTCCAAAACTTTTTCTTATTTTCAACAAAATTTGTTGATGACATCTCACCCACTCTCTCATTTGGTCTCTTTTTACATTGCTTCACCACTCTCTTAACCTCTCTCTTTTTCTCCATATACTCTTCCCTCCTTGCATCGCTTCTACTTTGTAAAAACTTCTCATATGCTAACTTTTTCTCCCTTACTACTCTCTTTACATCATCATTCCACAAATTACTCCTCTTCCCTCCCGCACCCACCTTCCTGTAACCACAAACTTCTGCTGAACACTCTAACACTACATTTTTAAACCTACCCCATACCTCTTCGACCCCATTGCCTATGCTCTCATTAGCCCATCTATCCTCCAATAGCTGTTTATATCTTACCCTAACTGCCTCCTCTTTTAGTTTATAAACCTTCACCTCTCTCTTCCCTGATGCTTCTATTCTCCTTGTATCCCATCTACCTTTTTCTCTCAGTGTAGCTACAACTAGAAAGTGATCTGATATTTCTGTGGCCCCTCTATAAACATGTACATCCTGAAGTCTACTCAACAGTCTTTTATCTACCAATACATAATCCAACAAACTACTGTCATTTCGCCCTACATCATATCTTGTATACTTATTTATCCTCTTTTTCTTAAAATATGTATTACCTATAACTAAACCCCTTTCTATACAAAGTTCAATCAAAGGGCTCCCATTATCATTTACACCTGGCACCCCAAACTTACCTACCACACCCTCTCTAAAAGTTTCTCATACTTTAGCATTCAGGTCCCCTACCACAATTACTCTCTCACTTGGTTCAAAGGCTCTTATACATTCACTTAACATCTCCCAAAATCTCTCTCTCTCTCCTCTACATTTCTCTCTTCTCCAAGTGCATACACGCTTATTATGACCCACTTTTCGCATCCAACCTTTACTTTAATCCACGTAATTCTTGAATTTACACATTCATATTCTCTTTTCTCCTTCCATAACTGATCCTTCAACATTACTGCTACCCCTTCCTTTGCTCTAACTCTCTCAGATACTCCAGATTTAATCCCATTATTTCCCCCCACCGAAACTCTCCTACCCCCTTCAGCTTTGTTTCGCTTAGGACCAGGACATCCAACTTCTTTTCATTCATAACATCAGCAATCATCTGTTTCTTGTCATCCGCACTACATCCACGCACATTCAAGCATCCCAGTTTTATAAAGTTTTTCTTCTTCTCTTTTTTTAGTAAATGTCTACAGGAGAAGGGGTTACTAGCCCATTGCTCCCGGCATTTTAGTCTGCTCATACGACACACATGGCTTACGGTGGAAAGCTTCTTTTCCACTTCCCCATGGACAATAGAAGAAATAAAGAAGAACAAGAGCTATTTAGAAAAAGGAGAAAAACCTAGATGTATGTATATATATATATATATATATATATATATATATATATGCATGTGCGTGTCTGTGAAGTGTGACCAAAGTGTAGGTAGGAGTAGCAAGGTATCCCTGTTATCTAGTGTGTTTATGAGACAGAAAAAGAAACCAGCAATCCTACCATCATGCAAAACAGTTACAGGTTTCTGTTTCACAGTCATATGGCAGGACGGTAGTACTTCCCTGGGTGGTTGCTGTCTACCAACCTATATATATATATATAT